TTCAAACACTGCACATGCGGCCGCCACTGAACACCCGCTGCGCATGGTCTCGCTCTGTGCTACCCCCCTTTCCTGGTGTCTGTCAGGGCTCCAACGCCGCCAGTCAGAAGATTTCCATGACGGCCCCTGTGCTCGCCAGGGTTCAGTCGGGTGCGCATCAGGAGGGTCGGGTTGAATGCAAGGGGAGCCAAGCCACAACAGCACGCTCTGTGGTGTAGTGGTTGTAGCCCTCAGTGCCCTTTGCACAAGGCCCATATGTTGCTGAACCGAGGCTGAAACATGAAACCAACCGCCCTCGGCAGGCAATGTGACTGTTGGGTTCTACAACCCTTACAAGTACCAGGTGCGGGCTTGTTGAGGCACGGAAGGGCAACAACCCAGACTCGCCTCGCTGGAGTCTGCCTGAGCCCTGAGGGGGCTGATCGCCATGAATGGCCGGCCGAGACTCCGTGCTTAGAAGCCTGGCGCGCTCTCTTTGAGACGGCTTTTCTGAACCCCTCGCCTCTCACAGCGCCCGCTGCTCCTACTGAGCCGCCTCTCTATCCCCATTCACAATGCCCACCCCTCCCCCACAACCCCACAGGGCCCTACGGGCAGCGCCGCCCCCGCCCCGACGGACCCCAGTGTCTACATCCAGCAGCTGCCCTCCCTGGAGGTCTACGTCCTGTGTGAGCCCCCGCTGGACGCGCCCCTTGGACGCTTGCGCACCCCCATCCATGGCACCCTGCATACTCACCCTCGTGGCCCCTGCCCCACACAACAATTTCGCTGGAGCAGCCCCGCTGTCGTGCACGGAACCCGGCCCATGCGTTCCGCAACCAAAATGGGGAGCGGGCAAGCAAGGAGCTGTGCGGAAAACCTGGCGCCCGTGGTCAAATCAGGGGTAGCCTGCTTGCACCAGTCGGTACGTGCCTCGCCTCTAGACTCCCGCCGCTTGCTGAAGCCGCTCACCGCCTCACCTTGCCGTCCTCCACCAGCCTACGGCGGCTTGACCAGCTCCGCCACCCAGAAGCAGAAGCGTGATGAGCTGGCGGCCGCCCTCAAGGCCGCCAAGCTGCCCTTCGACAGCTCGACCTGGTTCACGGCCGGCTACGACGCCCCCTACCAGCTGCTCAACAGGTGGGAAGCGACGGCGCCTTCCATGTACGCGCACGTGTAAAAAATGCCCAAATGCGTTCATGCGGGCGGTTGTGTGCTAAGCGTGAGCTTGGTCAAGCGCGCCTGCCCGCGTTCGTGCATGAACAGCGTATACAGTAAGCGCTTGTGCACGTTGCACCCCCGTGCTTCTGCGCTCGTCCGGTTGGCAACCTGGGCTCTCGACAGCCCTGCACACACCAACGTCCTCAGCTCCATGGCCCCAGATAAGCCTGCCTTCCTCCCACTCTCCCTGCCAACAGGCACAACGAGGTCATGATACCCGCGACACCTGTGGCGCCTGCGGCACCAGCCACTGCCCCTGCAAAGGCTGTTCCCGCCGCCGCCGCCAAGGCCAGCCCGGTCGCCGCGGCCGCCAAGGCAGCGACCGCTTCCCCTGCTGCCAAGCCAGCTCTGACCTCCCCCGTGGCCAAGCCCGCGGCCGCCGGGCGTAAGCTCAAGCTGTGAGGGCCACGGCACCTCTACCGGCGGCGCTACTGACGAGATGCAAGCACGCGGGTGCACACGCGACCGACATGCGCGCTCGTTCTTTTGCCTACGCACGTCCTCTTCACACAATTTGCTTATCCATGATCCTTCTTGGTTTCATTGCGAGCTGCCATCTGGCACACATCCGTGAGATAAACACGTGCAGGGCAGAAGTGGATTGGTAGGGCTTTGTCTTGTTGCAAGCGACTGGATTCCACGGCTGGGCGTGTCTGGGACTTTGATTTGATGAGCCACCGTGCCCAGTTCTTCCTCCAACCTGGCATATCAAAGGGACTTGATCGCCAACGCGTACTTCACCTGCATCTTTCTGGGAGGCATTTGTTTGGGTTGTAGCCTGGCTGGCAGCCCACGGGGCCGCACGTTGCAGGCAAAGACAGGGCAGGGCAACACAGTTCACGACAAACTCCTGGGGTCTACTACTTTACTGTCCGCATCAGGCGTCTCGCTCATGCCTTGCGTTGCAGATATCTGTTGCAGCAACGTTGAAGCGCAAGAGGGCTTAATTTGTGGCACAACTTTGGGGGGTAACAATGTTGAATTGATCTACGGTGCTGGGGATCAAAAATGCTGCGCAGCTTGATGGACGCACACAAGGCTGTTGCGCGACAGTGGACGAAGCCAACGCAACACAGCGGGGTGGGACTTAGTAGGAACATGGAGCAGTGGGGAAAACCAACGCCCCCAGGATAAGATGTGTTGAATGCATGTGCTGGGTGTCGGCAAACATGCGCAATTGCACGAGTTGACCGTGGATATGTTGACCGCACAAGTTGACAAGACAGATGTTGGTCAGATCAGCATCCAAAGCACAAGCCGGTGATGGCAGGAAAGGCGTAGCGGTTGGATCAAGCATTTTCATTTGAGTCCCAAATTTCATGACAATAGCGACGGCCCAAACCATGTTTTGCAGGGTGCTTGGCAGCCACACTTGAGGACTCGCAGCCAGGCTAGATAGGTCAACGCAGTAACTAAAGCACAGGAAACCACAATACGCTTACGTGATGTAGGGGTGTGTGCGGGCCAGTAGGTGTAGGGGGTGCCTCTAGGTGCAAGGATGTCACCATATATGGCCTTGTGCCTCCTCAAAAAAGCAACCTTCAACGGGTTGGTGCTTATGTTGAATAACGTGATTGGATCAAGGGAGTCAAACATGGCACCTGGACTACCAACTCCGCCGGCAAAGAATAAATTTGAGGGTGAAAATGACCCATATGTGACTAGATGCATGGCGTACTGGGCCCAGAAGCAGTACTGGTGCATCGGATGCTGCATCGTACAGTACTGTATGCTGTGCTTTTTCAGTTGACGGCTGGCCGCGTCACAGCGACTCATGACCCTTGACAACGTAGCCTGGCTTATAGGCAGACGCGGAACCGCCAAAACCTACTGCATAAGAGTTGTTGTGAGCAGTACAGTGTCCCTGCGTGTGTTCGAACCAGCCACCGCGACGACGAGGCAAGCGCCCCGATCGAAACAACAGCAAGCGCGGGACCATAGCACGGAAGATTATCATAAAGTTCATCCTTGTAGCTTATTCAAAGCTGCCTTGGCAATCGCGTCGATCTGCAGAGAGCCCGCCGACCTTGGATCGATCAGGTGAGCGGCCCAACGCACCCTACCAACAAAAAAGGCAGTAGTTGTTTCAAGTATGCGCACCTGGCTACTGTGATCCTGCACTGCTTGTCGTGCGCATGGCGCTAGCACTGCCTTGCAGGCGAATGACGCTGCTGCTTGGCCGTGCCTCCTGTGCAATTCAGCCCAGCTGCGGGCTTGACCTGCGGCGCAAGTCAGCAATACCCAAGCCCCAATTTGGTAGGAGTAACAGCATATGAGCGCAGCAACTGGTCGCAGCATGACGAGTGGAAGGCTGCCACATGTGCCTGTCATCAGCGGAACTCTCATGCAGCGGCTATGCATCTTGCTGGCTGGCGCTGCTTTAGTGATGCTCCTGGCCAGTGCGCTCGTTGGGTTTATGGACGCGCGGAGGTTGGATGAGAAGCAGCGCCTTGATCAGGCTGCACAGGTGAGCAGCTGCATCAGCACAGCGCATCATTGCGTGGGCTCTGTTGTCTCAGGGCGGCCGTGCTGTGGTTCTGAGCTCAGCTGTTTGTTGAATAGCCTGTAACTGGCTGCACAAGCATGCCCCAACACACCCACACAACTTTGTGCGTGGCGCAGCAGAACCTGACCCTTCACCGCATCGCTGGCGAACTGGCAGTAGTCCGGTCGCAGCTACAGGAGCTGCAGGGGTGCGTGGGTGCGCGGCAGGCAGGGATGTTGGCTGATGACTGCATCATGACAGGGCACCTGGCCCGTGTGCAGCAGGAGATACAACGCAAGATGCAGGAGCTGATTAGCAAGAGCATGTCCGTTTTGGCCAGTCCTGCAAGCCATGGGTCGCCCAATCACGAGGCTGCACACTGATCACAACCGCTGCGCGCAATACAGGATGGTGAACCCCGCCAGCCTCGCTATCGGGGATGGCGTGGTCGGTCCCATCAAAATCAACGGCGAACGTGCGTTGGTGCATGCAGGGTCTAGATGTTGGGGTGCGGTGCAGTCCGGCCAGTCTCAGCAGCCTGCCAATTGCTGTGTTCGCGCCAGGCACCTACTTCTCCTGCCACCACTCTGCCAGCAGATTCTTACTCTGATTGGGGTGGCGCTTTGCTGATACACACTCTGCCTCGAAGACACAGGCATAATATTTTATGACTGTATAATTGCGTCTCCATTTGCCCGTCCTCTCCTCATGCACACGCACGCTCGCGAGCGCACACGCGCGCGCCCACACGCACGCATGCACGCACGCACGCGCGCA